GCAACAACTAAACCATCAGTGTGTTATCAGCATCATTCTCATACTAAATCCAAAACACAGCACTATGCCAGCTACTAGGAAGAAAATTAACTCTATCCCAGCCAAAACCAGGACACTTGTTCAGCCAATAACAGCAACATCCATCAGCAATATTTAGGGCTCGCCACAAAAGGGTGGTTTTTGCGCAGAGATATCCAGAATAATTATTTTGAATTTCTGTGGATTCATATTCTCAGGAAGTCTGACATCGCTGGCATTATTCTGGAGTAGCTATTCTACTTGTATGTTCACGTTGCATCTTATTCTGGAACAAATTCTACAGGCAGTCAGAAATCACAGGGATTCTTGGCATTGGGCTCACCGTGCTAGGATTGCACTGGACATATCCCCACTCCATCCTTCTGCTCTCTCAGAAACATTTTTTGGGGAACTAGAAACAAAACAGACTTCACACTTTAGATTTTGTACAAGACTTCCTTTATTATAAATAAAGCTGCATGAGAAGTTCTATACAAATTCAACAGTGTCCTGCTCAAAAAGCAGCGGTTTGAGTACAGCATTGTCAATCAAGGAAGACCTTAGTTTGGAGAGTTTGGTGTTACTGCCCATCTCAGCTGCATTGCCAAGATTGATCTTCATACTACAGTTTTGCTTCTGAGCTACCATATTACACACACACCCCCAATCCTAAAAAAAAGACAAGTAATAAATAAAGCTATTTACTATGTAGGATCCTATGAGAACTAACCCCTCAATGACCAGCAGCTAAGCTGTTACAGGTGGGTAAAGTCTCATTTCTTCACCACAGAGAAAACATTGCAAAGGCTTTGCATTAAAAACATCTGGTGAACAAGCACCAAACCCTGCTGCTTGAATACTGGATAAAGTTTTGGATCTCTTCGCTGAAATACATCTTTATACCCCTGTAAGACCTGTATACAGAGCAAGTTGGAGAGAGAGAAGCCATATTCTGTGGTTGCCACATACTAAAGAGTGAACTCCCAACAGCTTCCCTTAGAAGACATTCAGCTCCTGAACAGCGATAATAACTTTAGACCAAGACATTTCCTAAAGGCAAATGGCTCCTGAGGCTATGTTGTAGATCAGTGGATGCTATCAAGCCACCACTAATTCCATTGCTTTGACAGAGCCTATAATAAAACATTAAAACCACAAGCTGAGGGTGGAGGGAGCGGTTGGAAACCAGCAGAAGGCAAAGAGGAGTTCATCTGTTAAATTCACGTGGTTAGCAAATAGCAAGAACGGCACTGAGACACAAGAAAGAGGTCCGGGACAGGCAGTTTACCTTTCCTTAGGATCTCTCACAGAGATACAGGCATTACCAAAGAGGTATTGTGCGTTTGTTACTCACGTGTCATACGCTGTTTGTTTTTAAAAGAACGTTATTCACTTTAAACCACAAAACCCCACTTCCACCCCCCACCCTTTAAAGCTGCTTCCTATGGATACCCAGCCAGACTTCAATCAAGGCAGAACTAAACATGGGCAGCACTAAAATGTCTTAGGATGTTTTTACTGGCTGACAGCTGATGGAGCTGAACTGTCTTATAAACCTTTTTTATGAAATGTGAGTGTGGCCTTTTGCTGACAGGGCGAGTACTTGGTGGGCAAAGATTTAATACAGGAGAGACGAGGCAGTCCAAGGAATGACGTGCTTCACATCACGGCCTCCTTGTACCACTGCAGCGGTCTGATCCAGAGAAATGCTGTGTACCCACAGCTCCTCAGATGGGACACGTATATACTTCTTGAATATATATACTGGTGTATGGCTTACAAAGATCTCTGCCCTGAGGCTTACTGGAGCACAGCTTATAATCACAGAGCACTTCTCCCCCCACAGAGGTATGAGTGGGTTCCCTCATGGCCTAAATGCAGAACAGACCTCTTAAAAGGTGCTCAGAGCAAAACGAGCATATTGCATGTGGGAAAATTAAGCCAAGCAATTTGCTTTCAGAGGAATCAAATCCATAAATTCCTTGGTTCAGCTCCAGCTTTGGTTCAACTAAACCCCATGGGAACACTTCAGGGTCAGTTTGGGCTTACGAGAGAACGGCACACAAATACAGCAAATGAAGAACAAAAGATTCAATCCACTTATCAGTTTAGGTTCCCTTTGAGCCTGAGCAGCGGTGCTAGGAGCTGTGTAAAGACGAGTTTAGGCATGTTTACAAGCCCGTAGGACTGGCATTACAAAGTTTTGTTCTAACATTTTAACAGGGCAGTTACCTTATTCTGTTCAACAGCCTTTTCTTCTCATCCTCCCCCTGCTCAACCTTATATAAAAGTTATTTTTCAACCCTGAATGTCATTTCCTGAGAGACCTGGGTCACAAATTTGTTTCTGTTCTGTGGACAGGATAAATTTAGACTCCTGACAGGAAATGGCAGAGAAATTTTTATTGCTTTCTGCCTGAGCTGGGAACACATTTAGAAGCAACTCTGACCACAACTGCTTCAGCACGACCTGCCTGCCGGCAGCCCGTGCAAAGCTGGATCTGCTACTGGCACTGTGCAGTAAACCTGGGCAGGTAAAAATGGCAAATTGCTTGGGTTTGCAGACAACTTACACAGCTTCCAATGTAGCCTCCAGGCTCCAGTATTCACCCACCCTCCCTGTACCTCTGCTTGTCACTACCTGCTTGGCATGTCCCCTGAGATTGCTCCTGCCCTCTTTCCTACTGGGAAGGCTTGCTTGGTTGTGCTAACGAAAGCCAGGGGCTTACAGCACTCTAGCGTTAGCAATTAGTCCTGCCCTATTGCTCTGCCAGCCCTGGCAGTCTCCCAGGCGCTTATCACCAAAGGTGCTGAAGCAAGCACTGATGATCCACGACTTTTTCCTACTGGCATTACCCACCAGCCTCTTCTCTCCCATTTTGCTTCCTACCCCTTACTTTCTGCTCAGAAATATTGCTTAACCACCCTATAACTGCGATGATGAAAGCCAAGGAGAGCAGCAATTTGAACAAAGAGCTCCCTGTCCCCACCTGTGCTTTCTTCAAACCAGGTGTGGAAATGGGAGTTACAGCTTTCTCTGCCTTTGTGCATGAAATGTCCCTCACTGGTGGAAGGACAGACAAGAGCAGACATCAATGAGGTGGTGAAATTGTTTTTACCAGGAAAAGGGAGGAGAGGACACGTCTGTGGAGAGTTTGCTTACCAACAGGCCGGATAATAAGCCTCACACTGTATGCTGCCCCTACTAGTGATACAGGATTAAATCTTCTCTCTGATGCATGTGATAGAGAGAACTGATGTAAAGGGACCTGTGGAGTCATGGTAATATCATCCCTGATGTGGCTCACCCCCCAGAATAACTACCCTCTTGTAAACAGGATTCAGAGAAGACCTAGTGTAAAAACATTGCAGGAAATCCTAACATAAGAAAATGGTAGGAAAGATCCCTTAGCACGGGAGGCCAGGCCTCCGGGACCAGCACACAGCAGATCTGCACTGAGGCCCTGGCTCGGATCCTGCATGAAGTACACGAAGGAGGGTGAGGAGCTACTGAGCCCTCTCCTACAGCAAAGCCACCTCTCCGGGGCTAGGCAGCCCACCGGCACGGCACTAACAGGCTGCTTCCTGAGGGAGTTCAGGCAGCTCCATTTCTGCACGTGCGTTGAGATTCTCCCCTGGCTTGAAAGCCTGCAGAAGCTGTAATTTCCCCATCACACTCCCAGCTCAGCAAATTATGGTCTGCTAGCAGCAGCAACTCAGAGCCTCATCAGAGCAGCAGTCTTTAAAAGGATTGAGGACACCCTATATGGAGGCAAACAGATAGCTTTTGCTTGGGTATCTGGGAGCAGAAGGGATGCGACACAGACCACAAGGCAGCTGCAGAGACAGCGCTGTGAAGCTCTGCTATGTGTGCACCTCTTTCATCCCCTCCTCCTAACTCAGAGCCATCCTGCTGGCTTTGGCCTCATTAAAACCATGCTGGGAGAGTCATACTCTCATTTGGAGGGCGATTGTTCCCTCCTGCTACCAGACTGCTGAGATTGGCTTCATTACAGGATAATTTTGGAGAACTGCTGCTTTTATGAAAGCAAAACCTGTAGCAGTCCTTTCTCTCTTGGCTGTTCTCAGCCTTGCTGCCCCGAGGTAAGGAAAACAAACAAACAAACCAAAACGCCAGAACCCAATAACAGTGTTTCTCTCTTTTACCTCAGGTAAAAAGGGTTCCTGTCCATTTATCCATGGAAAATGGGCAAGATTATAACCCATTAGCCATGTTACCATGAAGAAAATGGAACACGAATGAAATGGTCTGAAGACACAGACCCTGCTGCCTGCTCTGCTACATCCTCTCCAGGGAGAAGAAATGTGCAGGGTGCAAGAGTGTTTTTGAAGGACAGGACAAGCCATTTAAACTACTGCTGCAAGTCCTATCAAGAAGGCTGTTTTTTATAACTACAGTTACCTTTCAATTAAAGAGCTGTGGTTGATTTAAGGATCTCCATCCAGTCCAGACCTTGCGCATGACCCTCCTCCCCACATCAGCACCGAGTCTTATGTTGTGCTTCCCATGGGTCGCAGAGCTCCTGCTGTCTGCAAGCAGACAGGCTGCTGTGATCCCAAGATCCTGTCTCTGATTCCTCCACCCTTTTCTTATCTCCTCTTTCCAAAGGAAATGAAGTATTTGGCCACCACCACCGTTTGCATTGCAGGCATCTGAATAAATTAGTCATATCTGTTGCTCACCATCACTGTAGCGTGACTGAGGCACAATAGAAAAATATATTCTCAGCTGCATAAAACCCAGCCAGCACACCAGTGGAGCAGAAACTTACTTTTATACCACATCTTCCAGTTTCTCCCTATCCTCCCCCCATCCCCTGTTACTGCAGAAACCACGGCCCAGGACCGGTTCAGCTGCAGACAAGAAGCTGTACTGGCAAAGTCAGTTGTCTCCAGGAGGCTTCAGAAAGCTGCCCTTTGGACTTGTGCTTAGAGGAACAAGTGTTTTCCTGCTGGCTTTGGTTAAAGGGATTCCTTATGGATCCCATTGGCGTGTGCAAGGGGAATGTGCACTGTGTATTCATTTATTAGTGCAGACATGTTCCTGAGCATCTCGTGGAATGTGTCCACTGTCTTCCTGTAAACGTCCCTGTGTAGCACAAAGGGACGGAAAAGGTTGAGGGGTTCAGCCTTTTGGAATATGATGGGGAAGCCCAGCTCTGCTGGTACCTTCCCATTGCCAATGAAGAAGTGGTAGAGCTTCTTCTCATGCAAACATTTCTCCAAGAATTTCAGCATGTCCTGTAGACGGGCCTCCAACTTCTCTGGGGCCCAGTCCTGACTGGGACGTGCTTGCAGGAGATGCAGCATCACTGTCTTCAGGTGGTAGTTGGTAAGCCCGCTTGGACCTGTGAGGCTGCACTGCTTCCCATGGAGGAAGGAGAGGATCTGAAGGCAGCTGACATGGCAGGCATTAGCAGGCAGCATTTTGGAGACCAGCTGGATGAACCTCCTCTCATACACTGCAAAGGTGAGAAACCAGTGAGTGCTGGAGGGGAGGTCTGCTGCCAGGCCCCTCCGAGGGAAATGAGAGATGAAGTAAACGTCAGAGTTCTCATACTGCACCACAGGGGTGAGGTTGAAGGCAATTGATTTCCCTGACCTAAATTTTATCTTCAGGGCTCCTGGTGAGTCCAGGAGGCTGAAGGAAAGGTCAAATTCATACTTGTGGGAGATTCTGTTCCAGGCCTTGGTGACCGCAATCTGGAACCACTTCATGACTTGGTCAGCATCCAGATATTGAGTATTTTTGAAGCACAGGAGGTCTTCCATCTCACTGCTGGGCCTGGTAGTATTGGCCTGGCTATGGAGGAGGCACAGCATATCTTCCCCTAGTTTAGTCTTGTCACAGATGCAACCTGTCACATCCTCATCTGCCCTGCATACCTTGATAGTGCCATAGCCTTGTTCATCTGGGGGAAAAGAGTCGCCAGAGCACCAGGTCTGGGACCTGAAACAGTATGGCTCTGGGGGGGCAAAAGGCACTATCAGATCACAGACAAAAGGTTTACGCACTCTCCAATTCTCATACATGCTCCCCACACCCATGCAGTCCTCCACTTCCATGTCAGCATCCCGGTTACAAACACTCCTCAAGGCCTCCAGCAGGTCATCTGCAAAGCCTTCCACCATCTCCCGCATCCTGGCCATGTCTCCAGTGGTACCCAGGATGCGCTTCTCGTAGAAGCTAGCCAAGACAGCCTTGTCAGGGAAGGCCACTCCTTTAAATGCTTTCCCCAGGACAGCCATGTCATCTTCTTCTCCTCCTGTGTCCTGCCAACTCCCTTCCTGGAAATCCTGCTAGGAAGATGACCATGGAAAGGGCAGTCCACGTATCCCATTGGACCTTTTCCTCTTTGCTTTCCTCAACTACCTCTGCAGCCTTTTCCAGAGCCTTCTGTGTGGCTTCCTGGTCTGCAATTTCCTGCTCCAAGCGCAACTGCTCCAGCCGAAGGCTCTCCTCCCGCTCCTTCATCTTCCGGATGATTTCTTCCGCATTCTCGGGGACAGTGCCATTCTCTTTAGGGAAGAGGAGCGGGTGGTTGACAATAGCTGTAATCACCACTAGGCACACCCGGAAGATTCCCACGGGCATGGCAGTTCCTTCCCTGGAAGAGAAAGAAAGGCAGAATGACCCATGATTTGGAGTATATTCCCTCAAGAAGAAAAATGAAAGAAACTCCTCACTTGAATAAAAGCTTTGGCATCCTTTCTAGCCCTGAAAAAACTGCTTGAGTCTTGAAGCTCCTACGCGCATGCCTGTTTCTGCAAGTTATCAACCAAGCTTCCCAAAGAGACTTTGTCAGCAGATAGTGAGGATGAAAGTGTCCTCTTACCAAATTAACTTCAAAGAACAGAACTGTGAAGGTGCTAGCTACTGTCAACCCACTGTGATGCTGTTGGGGCAGTGTGGGAGGGCATGTCCTTCCTCCCTCCTTTAAAGCTCTCAGGACAGAAAGGGAAAGAAGCAGGCAGGACCTCCCCAGATGTAAAAAAAGCAGGGCTGGAGATGACCACTGCTTTCCGTCAACATAAGGCTAACGTTGCAGATGTAGCAATGGCATAGGCAGGGCTGTCCTGGCCACCTTCCATGTAAGCATGTCTGGGGACCCACACAGCCTGCTTGGATCAGAGCAGTCTTTACTGCCAGTGCTGGTTATGTGCACCTGGGTGGAAACCAGCCTGCATGGTTTTGTGCTTCTCAGCAGGCACTAGAGGCAAAGCTCTTCCTGCCTTTCAGCACCATCAGGATCAGGCTGTGGCAAACCCTCCTGGCCCCCAGCATGCCTCATGTCTGCGGTCCCTGGAAAAAGGGCAGAGACAGAAAGATTGCTAAACTGGAAAGGGTTTCCTTTAACCAGGTGGTTTTAAAATCATCAGGTGGTTTATTTTTGGTGCTTACTTTGCTATTAATCTGTGGAAGACACTAGTGAACACTGTGGTTTTGATCTAAGCCACCTTCCCCAAGAACCCCCTTAACAGCTGTGCTTGCAGCCCGCTCACCCCTATCTGAAGTGACCCCAGCGTGGCTCTGAGGACACACCCTGGGTCTTGCTATCGCTGTGCTTGCAGCAGGCAACCGTGTGCCAGCGACAGTCCCACGTCACCCCTTGGCATGACCAAGACTGCTACAGTGTTTTGAAGTTGCTTCGTGTGGTTACTGGCTCTGCTGCTCGGATGTCACACTTAATAAAGCTTTCCATGCCATGGGGCTCATGATGAAAGAATTTAATTCCCAGCTTTCTGGGACATAGTCACATTGCTGGGGCATCTGCCTGGCCCTGACGAGGCTCCCCAGAGGTCTGGGCCAGAGGGTGCTCAGGCTGAAGCCTGGGCTCTTTCCTGCCAGGTGGCCTTTCTGTTTCTGGAGGGCTAGCATCACTATCAAGATCCCAAGTTCCTGCTCAGGGCAAGACAATCTGAGGTTGTCACCCACTGCTGAGATGTGGCAAGCTCACCAGTCCCTCTTTCTAGCAACATGACCCCTCAGTCCTAGCACAGGGACATCAGAAGGACAAGACAGACAAGCAGGGGTATTTCTTCCTCCAGCTGGGACCTTTTAATGCAGCCCCTTTAATGTTTCAAAAGCGTGCTTGAGAGAAAAGCATTTCTGTTACAGAAATAAAGTCTATCCATAAAATACCTAATCAATCAAACCAGACAGAGTCATCTCATTCCTAACAAACCAATTCATCCTGCTGCAGGAATGAGGCTGTTTCACAGAGAGCCAAGAGCTGGTGAGGCACCGTGTGCGCACCGGGAGCTGAGGGCTGCAATTTTCTCCCCCTGCAGTAGCTCCTTCCTGGCCTGAACCCAGCATGTTTTGGTACCACAGCAACCCTGCTGTCCCAGTGGCTGGGCAAGGAGAACATTTCTGGCAATCTCATTTGTGCCTCCACAGGGCATGCAATAAAGACAGATCCATCCCAGTGGGCCTTGCTATTACTGCACAACAAACTGCTGGCTTTCGATTGCAGGAACCTAGATTTCCTCGATGTGAGCGCTTACTGTGCATGGGAACTGTGTCCTTCGGCATGCAATTATCTTTGCTTACAAGAGGGCTGGGACTGGAATAACAAGGGAAAGGAACAGGATTGAGATGCATTGTCCAAGCAGCAAGAAAATTCACACGGTGCTCAGGATAGCACTAAATGCCCCTCCCTGTGTAACATTTACTAACTACCCTTTTTCTATATCCCGTGTACATGCATAGATGCATGTTCTTACGCAGACATTGCTCTGGAGACGGTATGCTGGCCTTTCTTGTACTTTCTTCATTTACATTAACTCTTTAATTCATCAGGCAATGAATAAAGCTGAATTAATGCCCAAAGCTGGGTGTTCCAGTTATTCTGTGAGCTCCATGCCTGGCCGCATTTTAAAAATAAACTGGGGTCGCCCTGCATTGCAAAGGGCTTTATCAGTTTGCCGGGGCAGGGCAGGAAACGCTGGCGAGTTCCTTTCCTTAGTGCTACGCTCTTGCAGACCACGTGTGCTTTCTAAGCTTAAAAATAACATGGCCAAGGGCCAGGTGCCTTCTCTTGCAGTCTTGACTAGGATGACATTGCTGCTCTGCCCTGCTAGGCCTCTGTCCCTGCGGGTGAGATGTTTTACTGTTACCAATTACTTCTTAGATGCATAGGGCTGCAAAAAGTCAGCTTCCTTAGGATCTTCTTGTACCCTTCAAGACTCTCCCATGCCCAGCTGCCCATGGGCACACCGCTTCCAGAGGTTACCTGCCCCAAAGCTCTGCTAGCAGAAGGACTTAGGCCAGACAACCCCAAGTCCATCACTGGCCAGTTCACTGAATTCATTCTGAGTTACATGCACAGTCTAGGCTACCCCAGCTGATTTTGCCGGAGTAGGTTAGGAAGCATGCACACAACCTTTTCCCCCAGCCAGAGTTTCCCCAGCTCTACAGGCATCAACCTCTGGAAAAGAGTCAAGATGAAAACTGAAGTGACAACATCTTCAGATCACATGAATTTGCAAGAGGCATGTCTGTTTTCAGCCTGAACAGAGGAAGTTTTCCTGGTCAAAACTGCCCTTTTGCTACTGTAGCTATTCACACCAGAAAATGAAGCCAAACGTTAACCCCAGGGAAGGCTTAAAGTTAGTCGTGCTCAGTGGCCAAGGTCAGTGGAGCCTGGCCTTGGCAGCAGCAAGGGTGGTACGGGAAGAGCATTCCCACATCTCATCAGACACAGCTTTCCTGGCTAATATGGAAAGACTAAATAATACAGGTGAAACCAGTAGCGCTGCCTGCTAGGGCAGTCCAGCCTACCCCATAAAAAAGGCTGTTCTTTTCCCTTGCTTTTAACTTCAGCCCAAGCAATTTAAGTCTGATAAAAATATTTATGCCTGCTCTGGCTGAGACAGCTTTTGTGTGGGTAAAAGGGAGAGAGCTCAAATGTTTCCAAGCTGGAGACTAAGAAAGAGAAACATCATTTTTTCATCTATGCATCCAATTTAGCAACATTTCAAGCATGAGGGGAAAAAAAAAAGTGTTCATGAGTTTTTAAACAGCAAGTTCCCAAAGTGATCTTCAACCTTTTCCAAATTTCTGGCCATGCCAGTTTTTTCCCATTCAAAACACAGACAATGTGCAGGCTTGGTAACAGGCTTACATCTAACTACCTTCTGCTGACCCTCTTGCAGCAGTCCCAGCGCTCCGAAGACCCCTCTGAGGGAGGGCACTGTGGTCCTCGTCGCATCGCAGGCAGGCCACATCCATGAACAGCTGAGCCTGCCCTCACCCTGCTCCCCGGGCTGGGGTGTTCCCAGGGTGAGAGAGCAGAGACCCCACCTCTTGTGCTCCCATGGGCACAAAGCATGGAAAGGAGCAGCGAGGCCGAGGAAAGCCACTCAGGGAAGGGAGGAGGGCTGAGAGCAAGCAGGTACATGGAGCCCCAACATCTCCATGCAAAGCTCCATCTCTGCTCACTGCCCAGCATGTGATGCTGCTTGTTCAAACCCGACCCTGGCACCAAAATTAGTTTCCTTCTGGGCTTTTCTGTGGCACTCACTGCTTCAGTGACTGGGTGCCTCACTGATTTTAAGGTTAACAATTGTTCTGAACAACCCTGGGAACTGAGGGGGCAGGTGCCGTCCCACTCTCCAGCTGGGGAGCGAGGGCTCAGTGAGATAAAAGCAGCTGATCATTCTGCTGCACAATTAGAAACAATGATCAGCTGCATCCTGCAGCACTTGGTATGTTCAAAGGCTTCACCAAGAGCACCTGCAGCCCTCCACCCTCAGCTCCCAGGCAAGTTAGACCTCATCCTTTCAAGCTTGAAGCAGCCTCCCTGGCTGGAGGATCCCGATCAGCCCCACAGCAGGTCCTGAGTGATGTGGGGAGCCCCAAGAAGGGAAGGGAAAATAGGACACTGCTACCATGCAGTTCAGGTTGATGCCATGAAGCCACATGCAGGAGGCAGCCAGCTAGTCACACTAAGCTGATCACTAAGCTGATCCGAAAGCCCTTTGCTACACAATTCTGTAATGTCTGGTTCACCTGCTCAGCTGGAGCACAGAAGGGAAGGGAAAATAGGACACTGCTACCATGCAGTTCAGGTTGATGCCATGAAGCCACATGCAGGAGGCAGCCAGCTGTCACACTAAGCTGATCCGAAAGCCCTTTGCTACACAATTCAGTAATGTCTGGTTCACCTGCTCACCTGGAGCACGGTTACAAGCAGCATGTTGCAAGGAAAGGGAAGCAGCACATGAAGCTTACAGGCATGTAAAGCCTTTGCACAGCCAGGCAGAGACTTGCCTAAGGTCAAGTGATGGCTGGAAAGCACCCTCTGCATGGGGACTTTGAGAGCTGGCTGAAATCCTCTTGCATACACACCATAAAAAACAAGGGGTGGGTATGGCCAGAGAGGCTTGCCCCAAAATTGCCACTGGACAAGACTCTTCTCCTTTGCCACATTGGGCAGCACCAGCCATACCAAAGGCTGGAGAAGAAATGGGCTGGAGCTCTGAATATGGTCCCTCAGGTGAGACTGAGCCACGCTCAGCCCCTTGGCAGAGGAGCAAAGACAGAGCTGCAGTTCCTCACCAGCACAAATGCAGCACCCCAAGCTGAAAAACTGGTGCCGAGCTC